ACATACATATATATATATATATATATATATATATATATATATATTATATCTAATTAATACGAGGTATTTTCATTTATTTACTTGTATGCAGTGTCATTTTTCTTCAAGAACTTCAAAATCGCCCCAAATACATGCTACCTCTAACTCTGCAGAAAAAGCAATGCATGCTGTTCGTTTTGGTACATAAATTTTCTCTTCTCTCTCCCGGTATATGCATACGATGCTCTGCTACAAACACCTATTTTTAATCCTTGTTATCATCCAGGGCAGATCCAAGTATGAACTGTCCACTGCCTCTCCTGGTACAACCTGTCAGCGTGCACAGGAGCCCAAGGAAAGCTGGCCTGTCGGAGGAGATGACTCACGAGGAGGGAATGGGGCAGCCCCCAGGTCAGAGTGCGCAGACACAACAGGACGACGCATTGCACCCGTCCCACCCGAGGCCTCAGCGCCGCGATGCCTTATTACTTACTTTAAAATGCTTCTGCAGTACAATTCTGTTAGAAGGCATAATATTACCAAGGACCTGGAAAAGTTTTCATAACTGAGATACTTTATAGAAATATGTATTTGAGAAATCAATACAAACTCTAAGGGAAAATAAAAAATTATTTTAAGTATATTTCTTACCATTACATCTTAAAACTACCCTAAAAATGCTTCCAGCATCACGTGAAGTTAAGACAGAATTCAATTCAATTGAAAGTATTTTTGAGAAAAATGTTCTGTGATTCAAAAACACACATATACGTATTTCAAATGGTTGTGACAAACACTAAATTGTACCTAATCCAGTTTCATGTGTGAAAACTTACTGAATCTGATTATAAGAAATACTGAACAAAACACTCAGAACAGAAATAAAAGGGATATTGGGGAATATCACAAAAAAGCACATTTCTAGTTGAGACTCCACAACCTGGGTTAAAGGTTACAGAAAATATTTTTGGCCTCCCCTCATCCAAAAGGAGTGAAAAATCTTCTTGAGATCAAAACCGAACGTAGTAAGGATTCTATGGAATACACTGGCCTAGAACTAAGTAAATCATCAAGCAAGGAAAATAATCAAAATATATTTCCCACAAGTTCAGCAAGACAATGGGGTAAATCCTTAATATGAGACAGGAAGTATACATTTTATTCCTCAACTCTTATGTCATATTTCTATTTGGAGTTGTAATTTCAAATAATAAAAATGAATAAAAATAGTGAATAAAATAAAAATTAGAACAGTAAAAGCAATCTTTTTTAAAAGACTGTATTGTAAGGTCGGAAGTACTGAGGCAGTCACGCAGCTGAGGAAAAACCTGGCCAAAGCAGCCTTCAGGAGCACTGAGGGTGTTCTAAGGGCAATAACCGGGACACAATACAACGATGAAACTGCCGGAGCTTGGCCTGAATTTTAGTTTTCTTTAATTTTCTAAATGACATCTAAGGTGTAATGTAAGATTATCCTTAATATTTTTAGTACTGTAGGTGGTATTTTGTGTTACTTTTCATGACTTATGAGTGGTTTACTGTTTAATATACATTTATTGTTTTTCCTCCATAAACCAATGGAAGCCAACGAGAAGGTTAAGTTTCTCATAAAAGAAAGCCCGATTACAGCCAACTTTAGTTACCGCCATCTAATCTCATGTGAAAGCCAGTGTCATCAGTGAAACAGCGTGCCGTTCAGTATTAATAAACTCTATGGGGAAATAAGGATTTACATTATTAGGGTACTTACTATAACATGTTAAAGTTTCCTCTATTTCTCTCATTAATACCAATGTAACAGTATACATCAGAAAATAAAAATATAGAAAAATGTTAGATTGTTTACATTTTAATGCAGAGAAAATCTAAAGAACTTGTTGCACAAATAATATAGTAGGATGGTGTGCTATGAATCTAAATTTATGCTTCAGAATTATAATGAATACTAATTAATGGTGAAAAAGTTTTGGAGCATGATGGAATATACTGATTTTTAATGGATTAGAATTTCGGGTATTTTAGATAGTGAAAGCTTAGGAAAAGGGTACGTGTTTACATCTAAACAGAATGAGATGTCATTGCCTAAATTAATAATGCAAACTTAAAAAATAGCCCCAGGTTCAAAAGACCAATTATAAAATTCTTTTGTAAAGAAATCTATACTCACATTTTTCATGAATAATTATAACTACTAGTATTTTTCCAATAATGTTCAATTTATAAAATGAAAAATGTATTTTCAAATGAAATTTAAATAGCACTTCAGGTTGATGATGGTACCTTACCTGAAAATTAGCACTACAATGACAAGGACAGGAATACGCTACAGGAATAATGTTTATCTATTTCTATTAAGCAGGAGAAACCTAAGTATGAAAAAATTACTTAAATATTTTAAGTAGTACAATATTATGGAGAGATACGTATAAGATAAAGATGACCATCTTCCCTGGAAATACATGATCACCTTATGATGCAGAAAAGAGTCATTTTCAAACTAGACATTTGAAACTCTAAGGTACTTCAGCAATTATCCAACAATTGACTGTGGATTTAATATATTTTTAACAACTTCAAAAATTTGTAAAAAAAAAAAATCCTGGCACGTATTATACATAAACTTTACACACTAAAGACCTTCGGGCACTGAAAGTCTAGCACTGCCTCACTGAACAGTGTCCTGCGACCGTGAGAGTGAGTGAAACTCACAACACCTGAAGTCCTCCCCTGAGGCGGGCGCGAAGGCTAGGGCTGCGCGTGTCAGCCCGGCTCGGGCTGTGGGTCCTCAGCGTGCTCCCCGCCCAGCGTACGCAGTGCTCCTGGAGGTCGGTCCCCCGATCACTGGTGTTTACAAGTGAGGAAGAGCTTGAGCGGCTTCACTGAGGGCTGGGCCTCCCGGAGCCCGAGCCCCAGACCACACAGCCCGGCCGAACGCTCACCCCAAAGCCATAAACTGGACGCCAGGCTAATCCAACAGCAGCTGTTATCAGTTAGCCCATTTGAGAGCTTTCTGGTTGTCTAAACAGGTCTTACATGATATTTGTTAGTGTTACAGTGAGAGAGTGTTACAGGTTGTAACTCTGAAACCTGTAGCTGGTAGATGCCACTTCTATCTATCTACTTTTTACACAGGGTCTGTACATGATCTTGTTTGAAATAACAGTTCGGCTACTTAAAAATTACAGTTTGAAAACCATAGTTACACAGGGTTAATAAGGTGGTTACACAATTTGTTAAGTGTGAAAAATAAAATCTGTGATGAAAGAAACCACCAAAAAAACCCCAAAACAAAACAAAACAATGACTCAAAACTTAAGCGTAAAGTAAAGGCTGAAAGAATATAATCCTAGCAGCTAAGAGTGACAATTAAGGGAAATTTTTATAAATTTATAACTGCTTTTCTGTGTTTTGCAGGGAAGGCAACCACTGTGTGGCCTCTTTATTAAGGAAAAAGAGCATTCAATATTTTTTTTTGAAGAACTCGTATTATCATATTATTTCTATGTCTACCTCTAATTGGATCACCATTTTACCAAATCTCCAGACAGTACCAGTCTAGCGTTAGGGAAAGACAAAACTGATAAAATGTCGAGTGAATGAGTAATAAATGAGATACATCTGTAGTATCTCTGTGCTACTAGCTGGCCTTTAACATACAACTTGATGCAATAATGAGGACAATGATAGAGACTACGGCAATGTACTTACTGAGTGCACAGGCTACATCCACAGGATACAGAAATCTATTTTTTAAGGAAGACTTGAGGTGTAGGGTATACGTTCTAATGTTAACAACGGTGGGCTGCACTGAAAAACTACCTTCAATGCTTTCCCGTCATACAGTAAACAGGATCATTTATCGTTGCCTGACTATGTCTCCTGCTTCTCCGCACATGTGCTTTGCTGTCACCATGAAGTCACTGCAGCCGGGCAGACGTCACTTCACCATTGTGGGCCTCCAGGAGTGGACTGAGCACACACGGTCTCCAACGTGCCTTCAGCCCAGAAACGCGACCCCGCACCAGGCCCCCCAGCATCCCCGCAGAGCATCCACGTGTCTTTGACGGCCACCCACCCGTTAAGCCACGGCTTAAGTGCTCTCTGCTCCAGCAGGACTTTGCTCTGGCTGAACGCGTTCCTTCTTTGTGCACGCCCCTGGCCCTTCTGTGTTCCCACTGAGATCTGGATTATAAATACTTAACGAACACTCCAAGTCCACCTACTTCGCTACAACATCCTTAAAGGCAGGGAACCTTTCTTACATGATCTTTGTGGTCTAAATGGGTGCCTGACTCACAGTAGATGAGATACCATATACGTTGAAGTAACTGATTGGATGGTTCCTTACTTTGAGCAAAGACGTAAAATCACTTGAAATTCAGGTGTACCAAAGGAGTATAAATCTAAATGTTAAGATTATGAAAAATGGGAAAGAACTTCACATTTTTCGAAACTGTCACCAAACCAGGTGGTGAGTAAACTCCCAACTTAATATGTGATTCGTGCTTTAAGTCGTGCTAATTCATGCTACTCAGAAAAACATTTCTTCTGCGGTGAGTGGAGCAGGGTCTTCACCCACCCCGGCGACTCGTGCGCCCCCACCTACTGCACAACGAGCGTTACCTGTAGTCACACCAGGGGCACCGGTAGGGCTTTTCTCCTGTGTGGACCCGTTTGTGCCGAGTCAGATGAGACTGCGTTGTGGAGGCGAAGTTACACTCATCGCACTTGAAAGGTTTTTCTCCTGTAATGTACCGAGAAGGGTTGTACGTGAATAATTACAAAAATTGGAAATGAAGGGCTTAACCTGTTATTGACAATTAAAAAGATACTTATTTCCATGAAATTTTAAGATCAGAC